GCAAGGGGGGGGGGGGGGAAGAGGAGGAAATGCAAGTAGTCAACTAGATTAACCTAGGCTTAGCGGTTAGTGGACTACTTGCTTACATCCCTAGGGATGACACAGTTACTTTAAATATGAAGATGGGCTCCAGACTTACAAAAATTGTTCTCACCCATTAGCCCACATAATTGAAAAAAAAAATGAAGCTACTGATTGAGTTCTGTATTTTTACCCATGACTATGAATTGTTTTTCCAAATACTAAAACAGCTGTTACTCAGAAATCTTGTTAAACTCCTGTTTGAAAAGAAGTCCCCTTTTAATTTTTGTTAAAGCTGCTTTTTAATCCCCTTATTCTGTAATTATTCAATGTTCCAATGAAACACTTTTAAAAAGTCCCCCTTTCAATATTTTAACTTATAAAGTATAAACGTATTCTTTATGGAATAACAGAAATCAAGATGCTCTCTACAGTTTTTCCTGCAGCATTTCACCCTAATTAAGTAGCATATTGTATCAAACTTAAAACATTCTACCCTTTTAACTTGACACTCTCCTTTGGTTACAGTTTGTACAGACCAACAATTATAAGAAGTCTTTGGTGACACTGCCCCAGTTCAGCTCCATCTACACACTGAAAGGTGACATCAACTCAGTCATGCCTAACAAAGTACCACTAAAACATTTGCTCCTTTCAGCTGTATTTCAGTATTACCTCTCTTCTACAATATACCTGACCCTGCCAAGTCTCTCACTTGAGAAGAGATATCCAGTATTAGACACTGAACTTGATGTCTGATGGAAGATAGGCCATGGGATATTTCATTTTCATCTCTCTCACTCCCAAACACCAGTCTGAAAGAGCCCATCCGGCACAGGGGAGGTGACTAGAATAACCCCAGCAGCTGGGCCGCTGTTTATAAACAACCCCGGCAGACACCACGCGAACCGGACAGACGTCAGGAACAGAAGCAGCTTTGGAGCTCAGAGTGAATTAGGGGCTAAAGGCCAATTACCCCGCATCGCGGCAGTTCCTGACTTTACAGGTTAGGGCTCTAACGCCCCGCCCCCCTCTCCCCAGTGCGCCCCTCCTTGGGCCGCGCCCCG